AAATTAATTAAAAATACAAACATTCACCAAAAAATTTATCGATATTTATTTTTGTTTATGCAACAGAACCCTATTGGAGGACACGCAACTTTCCGACTGCGCGACCACAGTTTATTTCCCAGATGTGAATGCTACATATTTTAAATTCCTGCTGGATTTTCTATATTCCGGACAAACTTGCATAACATCGCGAGATGTTAATTATTTACATGACCTATTGTTGTTGTTGCAAATTAAATCCGACAACTGGAAAACCACTGACTCAGCAATACTAAGCAGTAAGTGCAGTAACTTGCGTGAACGTTTAAATAGCGACTCCAATGGCAACGGAAATGGCAAACAGCATATGTATTGTTCAACAAAGCTAGAGCATTCCTATAGCCCCGATTTAGATGGTAGCGATGATATAAAAAAATGCTCGGATGGTTCCAAGGATTCCGATACTATAAAGGAAGATCCGGGCAGCCCTAAGTGTTCATTAGATGATAATATAAATAAAGATTTGAAAGAGGTTAGTAGCCCCTCGACCAGTGAGCAAGATGCATTTACCGATGCCCAGCTCAATACAGCCAATAAGAATAACATACCTTCATTAAATCCCGTTAATTTATCATTGGATTTACGGTGTAAACACGAAAGTAGTACAAGAAAATTATCATATACGGACAAAAATATTTTCAATACGGATAGTTCATCGTTTAACGGCACGGAAAGTATAAAACGTAAAGGATTTTTCTTTGATTCCGATAAAGATGTTGCCAAATCCCTACACGATCCAGATTTGAATAATTCACCGGAAAATTATGTGGTAACACCGCATCGAAAACGAAGACCAGGCTTTCATCATTCCTCCAGTCATAATCAACCGTTTGCATCATCATATCAGCACACATTAATCGATGAATTACGTTCCGCGAAAACAGACTCATCGCCAATATCATCGTACATGTCCGATCGTAAATTGTTATCACCACTCGAGGAAGGACTTTTGGGCAGCTCAGAGGTATTGCCGAAAAATCGCAAATTCATTGAAAATCAAAGACCCCGACCACAAAGCCCCGACGCCGCACTACACATCCCTCCACAATTCGCATACCAATGGCAATCGACACAAAATCCTGCCATAAGCAACTTCTCAAAACTACAATCCGGTCTCGGTAGCATACCACAGATAGGCGTCGGTGGTGGCGGTGGCGGTGGCATAGCCGGCGGCGGCAATGCTGTCGATGCTGGCAATCATGATACACCAGGAAGTGTTCGAGATCCCCCATCCAATAATTCGAATATATGCGGCACACATAATACGGCACGCGAATATCGTTGCGAATACTGTGGCAAACAGTTCGGTATGTCATGGAATTTGAAAACACATTTACGCGTACATACGGGCGAGAAGCCGTTCGCTTGCCGCTTATGTGTTGCTATGTTCAAACAGAAGGCCCATCTATTGAAACATTTGTGTTCGGTTCATCGAAATGTAATAACGACGACAAATGGTGCTGAGACCGAGAATCGATTCAGTTGCTGTTTTTGTTCCATGTATTTCGAATCAGTACAAGAGTTAGTGAGGCATTTATCGGGACACCACAATAATTTGCTGCTAACGAAAAATTTACGCGAATAAAGAATGCAAGCAAAGCTTAAATTATTTTTAATAAATTTACATGCATACATACATACCTACATACTTGATTACATGAACACACACACACACACACACAAACGCATACACATATACATAAAACAAAAACAAACAAACACATAAACACATATACATATATATACATATACATACACATGCATACTTATGAAAGTGTAATTGTACTTTGAAGACGGAAAGTGACCTGAATTTTTACTTTGTTTGCAGAATATTTCTCATTGTCAGAACCTGCAATATTTTTTATACCCTTGGGACATATGTATAATAATTCCAATTCTCTTTTTATATACGTTTTTTTCATCACAATGAGTATTTGTAAATTTTCATTCAACTTTATAAATAATATAAAATAAATTTTGATGTGAAAACGTCTTGTAAATATATTGTTGTTTAATTTTACTTAAAGAACAGCATAATTGGATTGATTAAGGATACATATGTAGGACACAGACTGAAATGTATTTTTGGGTGCGTTTCTAAAATCTTCAGAATATACATATGTACATATATTCAATTTAAAATTAAAATTTAAAATAAAAATATAACTTTAAAAAATCGGCTATATAATATAATATTGGGTAGTCGAAAAGGTCTTTTCGTATTTTGTCAATAGATGTCGTTGCAGTCGTATATCTTCAGTGCTACATTGTGCATACCATATAGTAGAATAGCGGGAAGGTGAGATTTTAAGCTTCATTTAAACAAACAAAAAAAAAACAAAAATCGGGGAAGTTAAAAAAAGTGACAACTTTTCAAAAATGAGTGAAAATAATGAAGAAATTCGCTATATTTCGCTATATTTTTTGTATAAAAAAGGGAAGAATGCCACGCAAGCCACCAATGAAATTTGTGAAGTTTACAGAGACGATGCTGTATCAGTTCGTGTAGCACAACAATAGTTCGCCCGCTTCCGTTATGGAAAATTCGATTTTCACTGATGAAAGTTTTACACTGATAGAATAGTGTCTTTAGCGGATATATGGCAAAAAATGGTCGACCGAAATGGTACRTATTTGTTTATTAGTGTATATATAAAAAAATAAGTTGAAGTTTGATTAGAAAAACGAAAAGATTTTTTCGACTACCCTCTATATAATTGCATATATTTTATATCGAATGTCGAATCGACAAATAAGGGATTTTTCAAGTTTKTTTCGGGATTCGGGTACGGTTTGGGATATCAATGAAATTCTCTATTCCTGTGAAAGTACAATCGATGCCATTACGTGTGGAACTCGATTTCTTTTGCGTGGCTCCCACGGGCACGCTGCCCCACAGGAAATAGTCTAACGACGTCAATCGCAAGATCGAGGCGGCCAATAGTCGGTGCCATTTCTTAAAATAACACGTTCACCAAAGTTGGTTTTCAATAAACCGATTGTGACATTCGCTTGTGGCGCCGTCCTGTTGGAAACACATATTGTCCAAGTCCATATCATTCAATTCGGACCAAAAATATTCGGCCTTGATCATCACGGAAGAAGTACGGTACAATGACGCTGCCGGCACCAAACCGTAATTTTTTCGGGATTCAATGGCGACTTATAGGGTACATGTGGATTGCTGTTTGATCAATAACGCATATTTTGCTTATTGACGTAGCCATTCAGCCAGAAACGAGCGTCAACGTTGAAGGAGATTTTTCGAAAAAAATCCAGATTATTTTCAAATTGTTGCTCAGCCCAATTTACAAACATACGACGATTGTTGTGGTCAAGCAGCTTCASTTCTTGCGTCATTTTTATCTAGTAAGGATGTAGGCCAAGATCTTCTCAATTGATGCGSTAGCGGCAGTAATATTCTCGGCACAACGGTCACTTCTTTGTCTGACGGGCAAGGGTATATTTTGTACCGCGCCTGTGGATTCAAATTTTTCCACTAGACGCTCAATTGTTTTTTTGTCAGGACGATTATGACGACCATAAATTGGACGTAGCACTCGCTCTTAAAGTTGAGGCCATTGACTCCGAATTTTGGTAGTTAATGTTAATAATTTCGACTCGTTGTTGGATCGCATATCTTTCCATGWTGAATATCTAATCTTACTAAAGAGAAATGTCGAAAGAACGGYAAAAGTATGGCATTGTTATCCCTATCGGTCTACTTTTATATACAAGTATAGCGCCCTAYCAAAAAACCCTATAATTTAATATGTAAAGTCAAGATGTAAAAGCAAAATTTTAGRTTATAAACATGCTATGCCTAACTTATTGGTATTAATTTTTTTATTTTTAATTTTTGAAAATTTATTTACTTTTGATATTTCCTAGGCTTTGGAATTTGTGAAATTTATAAACGTTTACAACCTTTTTTGCTTTTGAAACCTTTCGCTGAATTTTTCGTTTTCTTYTCCATGTTTCGAAAATTGTAACTAAAAATATGTTTTTAAGCAGACAATATCCTACATGCGCTCCACATGGTTTGCCAACTACTGTACTTTGGGTGTACGTGTGGTATACGTTACGTAATGCTTTTTGCTCAAAATTATAGTTAACAGTTACAATCATAACATACTCTCCTTTTAAGTATTAAACCCTGCTTTTATTAATTTTATGTACACCAATCGCTTTTACCCAAATCTACACGTCTTCCAGGGGTTYGAAAACTTCCCTAACTTGAATGATCATGATTCAAAAGAAAAACTTGGCGTTATAGRAACTTTGAGTTATGGCAGGAAATTTGTATGAATTTGACTTCTRTTGCCAATTCAAGTATTCGAGYTACAGAAGTTCAAGTTATRGAAGTTCAACTGTATTTCCAAAAACTTCAAAATATCAGTAAGAAAAATTGTTTGAGCATGCTTAAAACACTTTAACATTAAATTGATATGTATGTATAGTTACGTATGTACATATTGCACATTTAATACAAGTATTTTATATTTACGCACTTTCTAGATTACAAAAGTCGRTATTTATATATGTATGTATTAGTTGGAGTTTTAACACTCCAAATAGTTTCATTTAATTAATTGCAAAGACTTCGAACTTGATTCGGAGGCAAGCAGCGTTGACATCATGAATGGCGAGAGACATTTAGAGCTGGGTGTGAAAGGGTTTTGTATTTGTTTTTGTGACAGCTCCGGTACTTTCGTGCTAATTATGTTGGCTTGTCGTTCCTGTTTTCGAAATTTCGCACGTCTATTTTGGAACCAAACCTGTAAAACATATAAAATATTATTATTATTTTTTTTTTTTGGGATAATACATGATTTGCTTTCGTAAATGATTTCTTAAAACAATAGTATGAATATGGTGTCTATATATTTATATACAAGTATTCATGGGTGTTGTGGAATCTGATAGTTGTCGGAATCAGAATTGAAACCGATCAAAAAAAGCAGTAGGTGTCATAAATTCAGATCGGTTTAGGGTGTCACGGAAACCAATTTTATCCGTTTTGCTGTCAGAAACAAATCAAGAAGATAGTCGCACACAGATTTGAAATGTGAGTTAAGAAATCAAGTTATTTTATTGTTACGAATTAATTTACTTTTATTTCTATAGGAGAAAACATAAGAACAAAACAAGATTTGTCTTAATTATTGAGTTTTGTTTAAAAAATCGATTTTGTTGAGGTTTTTTTTGCGAGGGAAATAAATAATTGATTAAAGCGAAATTTCTGGGGTTTATAGTTATATATTTAAACATCATCCGCACACTTTTTTGAAACGAAATCTTTTACATTTTGCCTTTGGGAAGCAATTGTCAGATRCTTCTCGCATGTGCATATGCCAGAGCGGACAGGATGCAGTTCGAGATTTCTATCGGAAACAAAAAATTCAAAAAGGTTCATATTATTTAACAACTAATGTTCAAATTAAACTATGAAATAAGTGTAAAATTATAAAAAAAAAAATTCAATTAAAAAAAAAACTTATTTTATTCTGAAAAAGTTTTACTTTAAATATATTTTCAAATTAAATTTTTTTTAGTTTTTGTTTTAGTTTAAACAGAAGATAATTTAATGCTAGAGATAATAAACTTTGCCCCAATTCCATATGACGTTCAGTTTTTTTTTCTATCCTGCCCACCAATTAAGAAAAATCGTAAAAATGAAAAAACGAAACAAATGCGTCTTTATTAATTCAATAAATTTTATCTCTTAAAATCTTTTTTTAATTCGGAACTCATTAAAAACTTGAATAGGATTGCTTCCAATTGCGTTTATTTGCAAGTTTTGTCACATTAGTAAAYMGCTGATTAGAATATTGGTTTTTCGTGTGTTCGAAAAGAAAAAAATCCAATCAGATTCTGTGACACCATTAAAAATCAGAATTGGTTTGCAATTCTGACAGCTAAGCAATTCAGTCTTGGATTCCACAACAAACCTGATTGATTAACTATCTATCCTAAAAAGCATAAACTCCTTTTAGCTTGATACATTTGAGCCAGCACTGCTCAAACTTCTTTAACCTGTGTGATACGTTCGAATTTTCGATAGAAAGATCCTGCGGAAAAATTATGGGCCTTTGTTCATTGGCCACGGCGCATATCACATTCGATGGAACGATGAGCTGTATGAGTTATACGACCACATTGACATATGTAGTTCAGCGAATTAAAAGACAGCGAGCGGCTACTCTGGTTAGTTAGTTTGGAAAAATATCGGAGTATGAAGTTTATGTGTACCATTTTTTTTAGAACACTGTATAAGCATATCTTTTATATCATAAAACAATTATAAAAAAACTATAATAGTATAATTGTGAGTATATTGGACTAAATAATAACAATTAAGATAAAGCACCAGTTTTGTGGTCTTAGAAAACAATTTTCACACAGCTTGTAGTTTTACCACTCTTTAGCTTAATTACAAGCTCAGAACAAGAGGAGCATGTCCAAGCACTTAACTTAATTGAAAACAAAACATTGACTTACACCACCTCTTCTCATTTTTACACCCTTAAACAATAACTTTATTTACAGTTACAGTAAACAATTTCTATTGCCGGATTAGTTCATCTGTAATACTCCCCTATTTAATTGGCTGTGACTTGTTTTCAGATCTCGACACGTGACTCTYAGTGTTTATACACACACGCACGCATGCATAAATTCCAAGTACTTAGATATGCATTTTCTAGACAGACACCTCGTAAGCGAAAATGAGAGATGATTTGTGAGCTGGGAAAAGTGAAAAATGATTCCATCTCATAATTAAAAACAAAAAAAACGAAACAAGAAATTCCTTTGGGATTTGCAGCCAGACAACCGAAAAGCGCAGTATGCCGCTGTTGATGAATTTTTTTCTTTGAAGTTTTGCAGTTTAGATATAAAATAATATTCGAAAAYGAAATTGTGTATGAATAATGTCATTTTAGAAACAATTTAGTATTTTTCACTTAGTAAATAAGATATATACATGTAGTATATATGATTTGATTAATGAAAGTTGTTTAACCAACCTGTACGCGTGCCTCTGTAAGCTCTATTTTCATAGCGATCTCTTCGCGCGTATAAATATCAGGATAATGTGTCTCTTGGAAGATCTTTTCTAGCTCCTTGAGTTGTTTGGACGTAAATGTCGTTCTAACCCGTCGTTGTTTTTGTTTATCTTTATAAAATGGTATAGGATTGTAGCTGCTCGTAGACCAATCTGTAAAGGAAAGGTAGCAAATTTGTAATACGTGAAAATTAATATGTCGCAACGCGGCATTATTAACCTAAACTGTACAAAATAACAAGTTCTTCTGTTACAGCCTTGTTGAACTCTGCAACATTATTTCTTGCACAACTTAGAGACTGACGAATCGATTGAACAATTCTCATATATACTATATGAATATGAAAAGTATAGAACAAAACACATATAGAACAAAAAACAAACTCTAAAAATCACTCATTATTGCCGTCTATAAGAAATCGAGAGAAAGGTTCTCCGCAAGATTTATGGTCCTTTGCGCGTTGGCCACGGGAAATATCAATCAAACGATGAGTTGTATGAGATATACGATGACATTGACATACGCAGGYTAGGTCATGTCGTGCAAATGGACGAAAACACTCCAGCTCTGAGAGTATTCGACGCAGTACCCTCCGGGAGAAGCAGAGGAAGAGGAAGACCTTCACTACGTTGTGGATTACGGTCAAGTGGATAAAAAAATTTGAAAWTTCGCTTAGAATATTCCGTTGTTGCCAAAAGCTAAAACTCGGCTATAACCGCCATCGCCACTAAATAAGAAGAATGTGGAAGCATATTCTGTAAGATTGTGTCATGGAAGTAGCAGAGGATCTTAAAATTTCATATGAATCGATTCAACACATTGTAGTTAATATTTTGKGTATGAAGCGTGCGAAGCTAGACATGTACCTAAAGAAAAAACTTTTTGCAAAAAACTGACGTCGAGTGGAGGACGCAAAAGAGATGTTTTGCAACATAAGTGAAAACCCCGAGGAATATGACGTTGAAATTATGTAAAAACCGAGCGAATGGCGCTACAAAAATGGTCTAAAACCGAAAATACAACGTCAAAACCAATYAAAAATTTAAGTGATTCCAATCGTTTTTTTTTATTACTGTGATTGATTATCATTATTCATTATAATTTCATTCCACAGAGCTAAACGGTCAATAAAGATACTACTTAGTGGTTTGGAGAAGTTTGTCGAAAACGACCGAATTTGTGGGCAGAAAATTCATGGAGTTTTCACTAGGATAATACGAGTCACAGCTGATAAAATTGATGGGATGGTACAACGGCAAACAAACTACGGTTTGGACTGGATGATGTTGGAGCATAAAAAAATATACTAGTATCAGCGACGGCGAATATCACAATTTACCAGATGATCATGTAAAACGATTGCTTTGCACTATAAAGCATTGAATACGGCTTCCGTCGGCAGAAACTAAGAAAATTTAAAGCACGAACGGACACATAGACTCTGAATAGTTTTGTGCCATGTTAATGGTCTTTGTGCTGGTCTGCTCTACAGACATACGTTGACTTCTAAGCACTTTTGTAATTGTTCAAAACTCACTCACCTAAACCGCGCTCATAATCATCTGAATTATAGCCGAAATATAGTAATGAGCCACTTATTTCCGATTTTGAACTCGCGCTCGTGTCATGTTTAGGCGGCGCTGTGCGATATTTTTCACTTTTCGGATGGCACAAAGTTGTCGTACAGTCTGTAATTTTATTATTTTCAATCGAGATTCTGTCAAAAGACCGCAAATAATTCTCTGTATTTAAAAAGAAATTCGTCGGAGAGTTCATTTTATTTTCCAAACCACAATTATATTTCACAAACATTTGGATGCTTCTTAAGATTTTATAAAATATACGTTTCATTGATTAATTATTGATATATTGTATTTTTATCATATAAATACGTATGTWGTTGTTTATGTCCATTTATGATTATTATTATCATTTTTTGTTATTGTTGTTTTTTTTCACAATAAATGAAAAATATTATTAGCGTAAGATCATTTARGAAAATATGATAAAATGCTCTTGTCTAAATTGATACAAAATATTAGCCAACTTGTATACGTGGAAGTAGTTAAACAATTACTSTGATGTATAATAAAAGTGATTCTGTGATAACGCCACACATACACATGCCCAATCAAATAAAACACTTTTGTGGGTGTTAACGAATTTAGCTACAAATTTAGGGGTGAAAGTTGAAAGTCGTCCTTGTACGCTACATCAAGTCGAAGGAGACTATATCAAGTTGAATGAAGTGTGAAAATATTCAAACTTAAGAGAGGCCGAAAGTTGTTCTTCTTACACTTTTGTATACAACTTTCAGCACACTAGTTATATTGGGTAGTCGAAAAAGTCTTTTCGTATTTTGTCAATAGATGCCGTTGCAGTCTTATATCTCCAGTGCTACCAATAACATTGTGTCATACCATAGAGTGTTGGAAAGGTGAGATTTTAAGCTTTAAGGGGAAGTTGAAAACAAGTTACAACTGTTCAAAAATTAGCGAATATAATGAAGAAATTCGGTATATTTTGAAATGTTTGACTTTAAGAGAAGCCTGTGAAAATTACTTGTCGCGGTTTTTCGCCGAGAAACCAGAAAAGTTTTACACTGATTGATGAGTCTCTAGCGGAAAAATGGCAAAAAGTGGTCGACCGAAATGAGACTTAGTATTTGGTTCATTAAAGTTCGTTATAAATAAAAAAAAAAACAAATATGTTGAAGTCCGATTAGAAGCACAAAAAGACTTTTTTGACTACCCTAAATGTATGAATATTCTGGTTTTTGAAATTTATTAAGTTTTTTAAGGCAAACATGTAGGGCGCAAACCCATCATATATGCCCGACAAATTAAATTTTATGGGAGGCGCTACTTGTTTTTGCAATACGCACACAGTCCTGCTATGCACTGGCATCAAATATACAAACATACATAGTACATAAATATGTACAATACATATGTATGTATGTATAAACAAATTCATAGCTTCCGTATCGTTATATCTACATTTATTACCATCGCAAATTAAATCCTACCTTTTTCCGCTCACTACCACAAAAAGCCACAAATACAAGCGTATGCAATGCAGCCGACAAACCAATGTTAAATATGCTTCATTAAACATTGTTTACATACAAGTGTTTGTGTATACATTATCGGGGGAAGTCTGTGTTTGCTGTTAATTAAGGAACAAAGGATAATCACAGTGTTGTTATACAATAAATATGGAAAAAATCGGAAGTCATAATACATACATACATATGTACACACTTACACGGATAGCAGTTATATGTACATATGTATATGTAAATATATGAGTATTTAATTTTGATGATAGTTGCTTATTTCATGACGCAAATATGTATTAACTATAGTTATGCATACATACAAATATGATAAGGTATATACATACATATGTATACATACATATGTATGTATATACATAAGTATCTGTGCAGTATGTACTTATTTTATACTTGTAATTGCATTTTATAAGGTTTTTATATACATAACTATCTCTTTAATACTATACAAGTACATATGACACATACAAGGACAAGTGTCCTTAAATAGAAGTATAGATTAAGCATGTATCACTTGAAATAATTATGTATAACTTTTTTTAGTATACTACGGATATATGCATGTTTGAACGAGTATATAAAAAGCGCATATTAGCTCCCCAAATATAAGTCATAATAATATGAAGGGGTTGCTAGTGTCTAGTGATAAAAATAATTATGAGATCTAATGAAAACATCTTTGATTGGTTGTATGTGTGCATCTGATAATCATGAATAAAAAAAGTCATTAGAAAAAGCAGGGATTTATTAATTTATGTTGATCTTATTGTATTACATGAGTCTTAACTTCCTTACTGTCCCCTCTCGAGAAAATTAAACTTTTAATATAAAATAACTTAAATTAAATATTTGATGTTGTATCGAAATGCCGAAATATCGATAACAGTGTTATGTGCAGAAATATCATTATTTTGATATTAGTGTATATACAGGGCCAATAATAAATAAAATCAGCTGCTTTGGGGCTACGAATTGCAATTTGTCGTGCTACCACCCGGCGTGACGCATTTCTSACATATGTATGTGCCCATAGCTGTGTTATTTTCAAATATTTTTCCAATGAGAAGAGAAATCGTATGCAGTGGCAACACTCTCATATTGTCATCTTGTGAATTGCGCGAAATGTGTTAAGCAGCCGCAATTATTCGATCTATACAAGTTTTGTGAAATTTTACAAATTAACAACGATATCTTTTATTGATTGGGCTTAAAATATATTTKAAAATGGCTCTACAATGTCCTGGTTCAGTGGATGTAACCGTGAGTATTACACATATAAATATAATGTTTATATGYAAACTTATCAAATTCAGCGGTTTTGCAAAATTTATTGATTGCAATTTCATCTCTTAATACAAATTAGGATATACAATTTAAGTTACAAAGTAAACATAAAATTTTTGGTGGAAATTCTAAATTGCGCGATCACGTTAACTTATTGGCATGTGCCAGCAATTATGGTCTACTATTTGTGGGCAATCCAAATGCTCCGGAATTACAGGGTAAGTGGTTGTAAACTAATGCTTTTGGAACGAATGTAAAATATATTTTCTTATTTAGCTTATATTCTCCCTGATGTTATATATGCGAAGTYAAAAGGACAACCTGTGCACGTACGAACCACGAAACTTCCTAATGTTCCTAATTCAATTGCATGCAATGCAGATGGGTCTATGTTGGCGGTAAATTACACGSTACAAGGTTATGGTGTTTTGGATATTTATCATGTACCATCATACGCAACATCTGTACGTTAATTTGAAACATATAGTATAATTTTTGGAAATAACTATAACTTTCATTGCAGGATGTAAAAACACTATATAGCATACGTTTGCCCGATCAAAACGTTTATGCTTTACATATATTGTGGAACCCTGTGTTGCCAAATATCATTGGTGTAGTGCTTAGCAATGGTAATTTTGCGTTGTATACACTTAAAGATGGTGGCGCTATGGAAATGCGTTCTCTTCAAAATCAGCAAATACAATCCGGTTGTTGGTCCCCTAAAGGTAAACAACTTGTGTTCGGATATCCAAATGGAAAATTGCAGCAATTTAAACCCGACCTTACGATGGTTAAAAGTATCATTTGCCCACCGAATGTGCATCCTGGGCCATTYGATACCATAGCATTACATTGGTTATCCACTTTTCAGTTTGTAGCTAGTTTTTTGCAGCATGGGGAGCAGGCTATGCCCAATCTGTATATTATAAATGCGCCGAAAGGCGGCACCCCAGTTTATATAAACTACAATGATGTATGCTACAGTGGTTCAGAACCGAGAAAGCAACAAGTTACATTCATGCATATTGCACAGTGGAATTTATTATTAGTTATATCCGCAAATGGTGTTGAAATAGGGCTATTGGGTACTAAAGATGCTAATGATCAACCTCAATGGGTGCATTATATGTTGTTGGATGAAGCACGCATTGAAATGCCACTTACCGAGGGCAGTGATGAAACATATCCCATTGGATTGGCATTGGATATTTCGCCAACACATGAGTTGGTAGTGGGTGAAAAAAAGTTGCATCCCATGCCGGTCATTCATGTACTTTCTACACACGGTCATTTGCTATGTTTTAATTTTTTGAATTTGTCAACAAATGTAAATATCTGTTCGCCACCAGCGCCAATTCAATACGTATTGGCTAAGTTTACCATTTTGGCTGAAAGCAGTTTTACTGATGCGGATGCCGCAGAAAAGGTAATAAATATTTTAACTCGAAACAAGCAATAAAAACAGCTTTTTATTTTTTCACAATAGGAAGAGAGTGAAAATTTGCCTTYACCATCAATTGAACCACCACCGCCACCGCCGACATCTACATTAACCTTCAATGCACAACCACAATTGAATATTGCTAATCAAAATATGTCGGCCTTTGGTGTGCCGGCAAACAAGAATTTATTCTCAGGTAGTTTTGAACAAAAACCGCAAAATTTAAAATTTGGAATGGCGTCGGCTAATACCGAAACGATGCCTAACGTATTAAGTAAGTAATTTTTTTTAAAAACGAAATCTAGTTTTCTGAATCTTACAAGTTTCGATTTGTTATAGACAAACCAACAGCACAAGCRGCGCCCTTGACAGCTCCGTTAAACACATTAAAACCTGCGCCACCTACAGAAGTTTTTAAGCCCTTGTATACGGTTTCACCGGAATTTGCGCCACCACCAGTACAACCCACGCAACAAACTCCAGGAAAATCAAAAACACACACWCTAAATTTAAATGAAACGAATACAGTTATACAACAAATGATTGTGATGCAAATTACGGCATTTGACAAAGAAATTAAGCAATTAGCACAAAAGTCAAAATTAGCACTTGTGAGTAACATTTATTAGTGTGTTTCTGTTTTCACACATTTTTTTTTAATTAAAAATATTTTTATAGAACGACGATCCGGGTATAATGAAGAGTTATAGCAAACGCTTAATTAATCTACAAGAAATTATTGAACAAGCAAATGAGCGCGATTTTATAAAGGATGTGCAAGATCTACGACACTCACTGACAGAATCATATGAAATGTTAAATGAATGCCGCTCTAAACTGGAAACATTTAAAAACCCTGAGTAAGTTTTAAATGTTTTTTCTTTTGTTTTTCAATAAATATTTATTATAATATGCGCATTTTATCCTCCAGCGAACCAGGTGCAAAGTATTTATCATTATATGATTGTATTAGCCAACGTCAACTGAAAGGTCTTCAAAGCTATCTTACCATTAATCAAAGTATAATGAAGCGCCTGGAGGAACAAATGGACATACAATGGTCATATTATCAAGATTTGGTCCGCCGTAATTCAAAATCTCAAATGCGTATACCATGCCTGGATGGCATATACCAACAAATGACCAAATTGAAAAATCTTATCACACAACAGCAGACAAAATTGCATTATATTAAAAATACTATGAAGCAAAAAGATTTGGGTAGTGGCAGAACGGCCAGCGATTGTCGCAAGGAAAACAAACAATTGATAAAATCGGATGCGTAAGTTCTTTAATAACAAATAATTATATATTTATATATCTGTTTTATATACGATCTAGTCTCGAGTTTTTGAGATATCTCTCTGAAATTTTCGTCCCTCTATCCCCAAGATCTTGCTTATGCAAATTGAGTCATCCTACTGCACTCCGGACCACAAAAGGATGTCTCTTGATGAGAGCTTATGCTCCCGCTTAAGGAGCATAATGAACTCCTCTCCAAGCAGATTTCTGCGAAACCGCCCCTGCAGCCACCTGCTTGAAACCGCCTCCTAGGAACATCAAGAGGTCTTTCGTCAATTACAAACTTCCGAGAAGTAGCCATTCCAGTGAATGGCGTTCTTAGAGTCAAATCACCACCTATGAGCTCGAATTGCCGCGAGAAACGCAAGTGACCCTTTGCGCAGCTTCGTTCTGGATACTGTAGCTTTTTAAACTCCTACTTGTCCAGAATAGATTCCGACATATTCAGCATATGTCCTGCGTGTATACACATCTAGATGTGTATAAGAGACAGGTCCAGAATAGACCCCGACATATGAAACATATGTCCTGCGTGCAAAGTCTCCGCATGACACTGGCCACCTCTTTGCATGCCCCGCCAACCCCACTCATCAAACACCCTTTTCCCTTCTATATCTTCTATGAAAAACTTTTATATTTGAAAAGATATCTTCAAGAAATTCGGCATGGATTATTGCCCAATGTAGTGCTATAATATTTGTATAAATGGTTCAGATCGGACCACTATTGCCTATAACTGCAAAATTACCGTCTAAAATCAAGTCTCTGCATTGAAAATGTTTTTATTTAAGAACTTCTCTGCATGAAATTTGGYATATATAAATTTCCAAGGTAACGCTACAATCACTGCATTAATTGTTCAAAACGGACCACTATAGATGCCATACAAACTGACCGACAAAAATTAAGATAAATATTATAAATTTTACTAAGATATGCACACGTGAAGGGTATTACAGCTTCGGTGCAGCCGATGTTATCGACTTTCTTTTTTTTTTTACTTTAGAAAACTTTAATTTATTATAACTAAAACCAAAATATACTTAATTTACTTGAGCAATTTTTTTTTGGTCAAAAACACTTTGCTTACAACCAAAATATTTTTGATTTTCATTTCTGAATTTAGGGGAGTTGTGTCATTGGCAGATTCTATACTCTCCATGACTATACACAACATCACAGATGCCAAAAGCAATAAATTATCCGAGAGCAAATTGAATGCTTTGAGAAATTTTACAAATCAACAGGCGAAGGTAAAAATAATCAAGCCACAGCGACCTAACCGCATTGAGCTGACCTCGGAGGTTATTTTAGAAACCAAGCAACTAATCAAAAAGAAAGAAACTAAAGACTATAAAACTACTAAAGTGGCTGACAACAAAAATGTTGCGACAACAAAGGAAGTGCAACAACAAGCGCCATTTAAGCTAATGCAAGCGCCGACTAAACAAAATATTGAACTACAAGTGCCAAAGCCGCACCAACAACAATCAGAACAACAGTCATTACAATTCTCAAAACCAACACCAACAGCCGGATATTTCAGTARCTCACAAACTTCAGCACAAACTGCTACAGCTGCCCAACTTAAGCAACAAACTAGCACACCATTTTCGACACTCGGTTTCGCTAGTGGCAACAATTTTCTGCCGAAAGCTGAACCACTTAAATTCGATAGTGGAAATGAAATGCCTAAATTTAACACAAATACAAATGCATGCAAAAACGATGTTATTGAAAACAAAGCAAACACTTTAACGGCAGCCAACACTAACGCTTTACCAAAAACCGAGAGTGCTGATAAATCATCAGCGCCAGCAATGAACTTCTCATACACATCGAAAGCTGATGCGGCCGATATTGGCAAGTCCTCGTTAAATTTTAATGCCCCTTCGAAAGCCTTTACCGGTTTTGGCCAACAGTCGTCGAAACCCCAAACCAACATATTCAACGCAAATAACACACCAGTTAATGTAAATGCTAATCAAAYAAACGAAGCACCGAAAGCGTTCAGTTTTGGTGGCACATTTAGTGCATTAACGGATTTGAATAATGCCAACAAGCAGAGTGCTGCGCAAAATCAATCAAATTTGACGGCTAATACAAGTGCARCGGCGACAACACAACCATTATTTGGCACAACAACAATGCAACCAACAATTTTTAATAAACAAAATGAGAATCAATATTTTGSACCACCAACAGTCTCAGCTGCTAGGTATATTTAAATTGTCGCTATTCGAAAGAAARATATATTCTTCAAATACATTTCTATGTTTCAGTACAATTGGAAATGAAAAAATATCCACTGCTGATACACAGACGAAGAGTATGCCTTTGGTAAACGCTTCAACCCAAGATACAGCAGATCGTAATGTTGTCGGTAATGTGAGTACAACACAAACTAAGAGCGAAGCAGATGATATGTATTTGAAATCTTTGAATATCTGCAAACCAACACCGAAAGGTATTTGAAAACAAATAATTCACCGTTTTATATTAATAATTAATTTTGTTTTTCTAAATTTTCTCAGAAGCTGTGAAACCTAAAGATGGCAGCTTGTTCTCCTTCAGTTTAAATACGGAGAATAATCCACCAGGTGCTTTTCAGAGCATGCAACCGGATTTGTCGATATCCAAAGTTAATACAATTGCAACAAGCACACCGGCAATAGCAGCACCAACACCAGCAATTTTTGGCAAGCTCGCCACAACAGAACAGTCACCTTCACCATTCAGTGTTGCCAATACAAATGTATCGGCATTTGGTGGCACTCTAGGCTCCACCACACCATCTACATTATCTATACCGACCACTAGCAGTATTGGTGGCGTAGGCGCATCTGCGTTTTCGTTTACGAACCCGTCGCTCTTCAAACAGCTGCCCACTTTCCAAAGTCAAACTCTTGCAAGTACCACTACCACTACTACTACTACTACTACTACTACTGCGGCGAGCGTTACGTCAACATCAGCAACTACAAGCGCGCCGACCGCAGCCAAACCAGCGCCAACGGAAGCAGCTGCTTTTACCAAAACAACTACAGCCGTTGCCACAGCTYCATTAGCCCCTACTGCTACAATAACCGTTGCTGCCGCCACAACAATCCTAACACCAACACCGTCACCTACAATTGTTGCACCCACCGYTGTCTCGGCGGCACCTGTTAGCGGCGCAACCAGTCCATTCTTTTCAACGATTGCAGCGGCTAAAATGCCTGGCGAATCGCTGTTTGGCAATTTAGCGCAGCCAACTCAAGCTATCAGCCCCGTTAGCTCTCTGGCAAAAACGGACAATACTTCGCAACCGGCAACGACTACAAGCGTTTCGGCATTTGGTGGCTTATCATTGGGTAGTCAGGCGCAAGCTGCCAGTGGTGGTAGCATCTTTGGCAACTCAGGTAGCGTAGGTTTTGGCACTGCAACGGGTGGCATATTCGCCGCTGCCACAGCTGGCAGCATGCCAGCAAGCCCCGCAGCGCCCGGCGCCAATACCTCTGCTGGTTCCATATTTGGTAACAGTGCCGTTAAGAGTCCCGATGGGTCGATTTTCGGAAATGCTGCWACGAAACCCGCTGAAAATACTGGTTCTATATTTGGTAATGCGGCAGTTAAGAGCGCTGATAACACAGGTGGTTCTATATTTGGTGGTACGCCTGCTAAAAATCCTGACAATGTCAGTGTTTTCGGTTCACCAACATCACCGAATGCAGCCGTCAGTAGTGGTTCGATTTTCGGTCAATCGACTGGTAGCATTTTTGCTTCTGCTACCGCCGCCAACAAGCCGGATTCAACATCCACAGCATCTGGTTTCAGTTTTGTTGGTTCGGCTTTTGGCKCGGCACCGAATAATACCGCAGCGTCTGGCGGCTCTATATTTGGTGGCGCTCCAGSTGCATCTGGTCCGCAACAACAACAGCAAGCAAATATATTTAGTTCACCCGSCAGTGGTTTTGGTGCAACGGCTAATTCACCGTTCAGTTCATTCTCACAAGGTGGCTCTTCAATCGCAAGCACCGGTTTTGGTTCACCTTCACAGCAACAACAAGCGGGTGCATTTCCACGACCAGTTTTCGGTGGTGCGCCAACATTCGGTAGTCCACCGGGTTTTGGTGCACAACCTAGTTTTGGTGGCGCGCCGACTTTTGGTAGTCCCAAAGGTTTCGGCTCCTTTGCCACGCCCACAACCACCGCCTTCAGCGCGCCTACCACGCAAAGCAGCAATATTTTCGATGCTTTGGGCTCGACAGACACAGGCCTGTCCTTTGGAAATCTAGCACAGACGACGAATACTCCGCCAGATGCTCCGAAGCCTATATTTGGCGGGTAAGTTATAACACAAAAATCGTAATGCAAAATGTATCTGACTTTCTCTTTTATACTCTAGCTCCTCATTCATGAATTATCGTGCATAAGTGTGCCACAATGTCTAGGTGAAAGCGAGTCAGATAACAGGTTACAATTTCAAATGATTCTATTTAAGTTACTGAAATTATACTATGAAGAAAAAATCCATATTAAACAAAAATACAACCACTATAMTTTTAAACTATAAAAAATTTCAATATCAAATGAATACGTTTTCGAAGTTAATAAAAAAACTTTGAATTTGTTAAATGAGACATCTTAGTCATGACTAAATAATAGTTTTAGCTCCTTCAATTTATTTTAATTATTTAAAATTTATTTTTTTTTACTGTTAATTTATT